AAAAAAATATCAAATGCTTTATAATATAGTATAGATATATTTTTAAACAATTCTAATATATTATTTGAGGATANAAAACAAAATTGAAAATTTTATTTATAATAATTAATTTATATTTATTTCTATCAATTTTAAGTTTTATGTTTTACATATTTGAAATAAAATGGTTAAAAAATATACAAATAATAAATAACGAAAAAGGAAAGTATACCAAAACTGGAGCACTTGTTCAAACACCTGAATTCTAATAAGGGCCTGTCTGGATAAGAACCTCTATCCCAAAATACAGATTCTTATAAAATAACAAGAAGAACCTCCATTGTGGATTTATTTTTTGTATAAATCCACTAAATAACAAACTAATTTCATATATTTTCTTATTATACAATTTTACTTTCATTTTTTTATTACAATAATGTACTTTTAAATTATTTTTATTAGACATTGTACTTTGAAAAATCTACCTAATATAACAATGAATAATTTGTTACTTTTTAAACTGGTAATCCATCACTTTTCTTTGCTTACATGGCTTAAATGTTTTGACATGGATGACACGTCATTCCGATTATGTGACATTAATAAATAACCTCTTTCATTTTTTTAAATAATTTTCTCACTTTTTCTCCCGGTTATTCATATCTCGCCCAGTTTATGTTTTTCAGCACTCTCTTCAAAAAAATTATTTTCAAAAAATTTCACTCTTACTAATTTGTACGCAAATTAAATATTTTATAGTAACATTTTTTGTAACAAATATAATATAGTTTCAAGATAAATATTTTATTTGTAAGAAAATGTAACATTTATTATTTAATTTTTCTAATTCAAAAAATACATATTTTGTAATATTTTTTAAATTTTAACGATAAAAATGTGTTTTACAAATCTTTTTAATATTATTATATTAATAAATAATTTAGAAATAATCTAATTAATTTAGTATATTTGTTAAATAATATGTCAAGTCAATTTTTTTTCAAACAAATGGATGTATTTCTTCGATATAAATATTTTATTTGTAAGAAAAGTAACCGTTCTTATTTTCCCAGTTCAAAAAAAAATAGTTTTTAAATGTTAAGGAAATAAATTTTTTTTAATATGTTATATTAATATAATTTAGAAATTTTCTAATTAATTTAATATATTTATTAAATAATATGTAAAGTCGATTATTTTAAAAACAAATGTGTTATAGTTTACAAGATAAATATTTTATTCGTAAAAATAGTAACATCTTCAAAAATGTTAGCGAGATAGATTGTGATCAACAAGTCTTCCTAATTTTGTTACGTTAATGAATAATTTAGATTTTTAATTAATTTAATATATTTATTAAATAATATGAAAAATTATTTTTTTTAAATACCATGTTGTAATAAGAAATGACACTCCATCAATATATTACACATGGACAATAGCATGACATGGAAGCCTGGTAACCTGTATCATGTCATCTTACTTTGAATCCGAAGGTTACTCATTGCTATATGGGTATATTATTGAATTACAATGCCTTAATAAAAAATAATTTGAAAGTATATTGTTGTAATTAGAGAAAAGTATAACTACAATGTTATAATAAGAAAATTTGTGAAAGTAGATTATTATTTCATGCATTTAGCTCTTTTTATTTGAAAATTAAATAAATCTATCATTAATTATACTAAAAATCTATACAAATTTGTTTATAGGAACATCATGTGATGAGTTGGTGTATTATTTATCATAATTATTTTTAACCTCTTATTAGATAAGACATAAATTTCTCTATAATGTGAACATATCTTTTGAGTGAAACTGATTGTATATGCCAGCTGTCGGACTTAGTAAAATAAGCGTAAATAGATACCGCTTTATGTAAATCACGTTGTTCATGCCTGATAGTGGTTAGTGTAACGTTCATCTCAAATATAAATCTACTTTATGAATAATACCATATATGAGGCCCGGTGGTTCAGTCTTATCTGCCATACCATCAAAATCTGTAAACTTTTGTTTTTTAATCATCATTAGCTGCCATAAAGAATAACTTTTCATACTGGATTCCAGAAACTGTCATCACAAATGACACGTAATATTCTTCACCTCAAACAAACAAACCATAAAAATGTTAAATTATATTGTAGCTGCAAGCTATGCATGACCTATTAGAGATCACGACATATGCATGTAACAGCATCTGATTTTCCAAGAAGTTCCATGGAAAATATATTTGATCTCATTATAATTGAAGCCGTGTAAAGTAAGAGGCGATTCATTGTGTTTGATTGATGGGTCAAATAATACTGGAGGAAATTGATAACTAGTGATTTAGTAGGTGCACGAGTTATTTTCGTATGATAATTCACAAGGCAAGAGAAGAGGAGAGATTGTGGGAAACAATGTCTATGTAATTATTATTTTTTATTGAAGGATTACAATGTCTATGCAGTTACTATTTACTATTTAAAGACTTATTTGATGTATCTATGGAAATTATTGCAGATTTTCAAAATCCAAGTATTTCCAGAGATTTCATCAATCCAACTTTCAAAGAACCAAAATCAAGTTCAAATCTATCTGGACTTGTTGAAGTTGTTGTTTCATCCATGTGTGATCAGAATGTACCTATCTATGAACAAGTTTCTCAAAACTTTAAAAACTTAACTCTGGACGGGTTAATTTAGAGTTATCCAATTCAGATATGCATTCAATTGAGGGGGAGCAACAAGATGAACATGATCAATCAGAGATTCATGGCATTATTGATGAAAATGATTGTTAGAACAATCAGAGTTCAACTCACCCCTTGCCAAGCTTATACAGATGGACAAAAGACCATCCATTACATCAAGCAATTGGAGAAGTATCTAATGGAGTAAAGACCAGATTTGCAACTGCAAGTGAATGTTTGCTTGTGAATTTCTTGAGCTCAATAGAACCTAAGAAGACTTCTGATGCATTACAAGATCCAGATTGGGTTTTTGCTATGCAAGAAGAACTTTTACAATTTGAAACAAACAAAGTTTGGAGACTAGTTTCAAGACCTAAACGTAAATCAATAATTGGAACTAAGTGGCTCTTTAGAAACAAGAAAGATGAAGATGGAATTGTTGTCAAAAACAAAGCTAGGCTTATTGTAAAAGGTTATTCTCAACAAGAAGGAAATTTAAATGAACCTTTGAATGTCGAATCCCCTGTACCAGAATTTGCTGAATCTCAAGGTGAGGTTGGAGATGCTGGAGGAAATCAACCAACACCCATTGCTGCAATGTCTAGGCATCAATCGTCCCTAATCTTGAAAAATCTTTTCTGTCTGAAGAAGAGTATGATCTCATCAAAGAAAACAATTGTGCTCTGAATATGAAGTCTAAAAAGTTCAAACCAGATCATCAAATCATTATTGAGATTAGCAAAAGACACCCATTGAAGAGGATGTTCACAATGTCGTACATTGTTCCTCTTTAACATCTTCAACAGTGGTGGAAAAATCTAAAGTATGATGATAAGGAGCAAGAACTAGTTTCTATGATTGATGACTACTCATTTTCCCTCAATCTTGATCTGTTGAGGAACATGCTAGGATTACCAAAAAAAGATGGATTTTTGGGCAAAAGTGATTTTGATGGCTTTCCAAGCCAAGAGCAAATGATCCAAGACTAACTACCATGCCACCCATCCCCACTCACCCACCAACCCCACTACTAACTACCATGCCACTACTGTTTTCATCACACCCACTAACCCCCCCCATCACTTACTGCACATCCCTACTACGACCATGCTACTATCGTTATTATCACGCCCCTAACCTAACCCCTACCACCACACATTATTGTTGTTGTTACAACTACCACTCACCTCCACCCTACCCTACCCCAATTCACCACTAACCACAATGCCACTACTGTCGCCGTCATACCCACCCACTTTCGGCCACTCGACCACTATCTTACCACTGTGGTCGTGACAGCTACCACCCCGCCTATAGAGCAGGGGTAGGGTTTGGGCAGGAGTGGTGGAGGCGGGGTTTGGGTAAGGGTGGGGCGGGGTGATAGTTGTGACGACGATAGTAATGATATGGTGGTTGGTAGGGTGTGGGCGAGGTGATGGGTGTGGTAGTCCAAACGAAGACGATTGTTCCAATTCTTTTGAGTGATTTCATTCCAATTTCTACCAACCAAACGTGTGGTCAAATTCCATCAAATTTTATTTCATTTCTTTCAAAGTCAAATTCTTTGATGGATTCCAATTCCATCAAATTTCATTTTGTGAACCAAACACCCCCTAACTATTTGAAGAAGAAGACAAACAGTCAGAGAGAGAAATAAAAAGAGTTCTGATTTTGAAAATTGAGTCATAGATATTCTAAACTCTGCAAACCAACAACTTTTATACTCCCAAAGTTTCACTTTCAGTCCTTCAACTTTTTGAACTCTAACTCCATTACCCTCTAGATTTAAACTTTGTAAGTGCAATCCCTCAAACTTTCTACTTTAATTAAAGCATTTAACACCTAAAAATTACATACTAAACAAAACATTAATATATTTTGACATTAGAAATGTCAAGATTGAATAGTTCATACTGAATTTTAACAAATACTGCCTGTATGTAAACTGCACAGGCTTTGTAAAAAGCAACCATACGGAACAATATATGTTGTAACATAAACTAGCAATCTCATATATACTTCTCAATGTCACAGTGTAGTAGAGTATGGATATATTTACATCACATGGTAGGTAAACAAAATAAACTATTATAAATATAGGTAATGGATCATGTGAGAAAGGAAGTTATAGTGAGAAGCGTATGAAGAGATCTGAACCCTTGATCACTTTTAATCTCATGTCCACCCATGAACTGCACTTTAATAGGGAATTGATCTGGTGCATCTCATTAGTGTTGACATTCAATTACGATTGATCCAAGGATGGAGATCTCTTCTTACGCTTCTCACCATAACTTATTTTCTTACCGGAACCCAATCCTTATAAGTATTAATGCATTTGTATCTAATTACATGGGGGTTCAGCAATGGTGTAAACTTTTACTGATGATTCACTGGTGATTGGACCATTCGTAGGGGAAGAAGCTGATCCAGAACTTAGAAGTTGTGACATTGCACGTCTCCTTGGCATTGTCCTTTGTACGTTGCATAATTCTGGCAAGTAAACTCCTGTGAATTTGCAAATAATCATAAGAATCGACTTAATTTCGCCTTATTATATAAGGTTGACATTATATATATTAGGAGAAGGTTTAAGCGAGGAAGGCAAAAAGGTTGAGAAGGAATGATTTCATTATTAATCATTGGTAAAAAGAAACTAGAGATCACATATGCATTTTCAATTAAATTAATTTTTCGGGTAAAAATCGTTTTTACTTATGATTCTCATGTAAATCATTTCTTTTCATCTTCTCAACTTGGGTTCTGATGAGAATGGAAATTATGATAAGAAAGATAACAATAAATCTCCATCATTGGATATATGTGTGTGTGTGTATATGGACGTTCAAACGAGAACGGTAATATATATATATATATATATATATATATATATATATATATATATATGTCACATGTGATTTTACACTAATGGGCGACGTGGCATGCGACCTCATATCATAGCCAAAATCACGTGAATCACATGTGATTTTAGTGTGAAATCACATGTGATTCGATCGTTTTCTTATTCTATTATTTAGTTACTGTTCTCGTGTGAACTTAACACACACTCTCTCTCTCTTTCTCTTTATATATATATATGTGTGTGTGTGTGTGTGTATAGTTGGTTCCGATGAGAACGGAGGTAATAGTGAGAAGGGTAAGAAGGGATCTTTTATATATATATATATATATATATATATATATATGGTTCTAGTGAAAATGAAAGTAATGGTGGGAAGGGTAAGAAGCGATTCACCCGTGGATCAATCCTAATTGAATCTCAACAATAAGGAGATGCACCAATATGTATCGGACCAAGTCCCGTATATGTCAAGCGAAATTAATGGGATGTGGTGAGCTTAAAAGTGATCAAAGGTATAATCCCTTCTTACGCTTCTCTCCTTTTAACTCTTACTCTATCCTTCATCTATGTATCTATCTATATATATATCTATATATGTATATATATATATATATATATATCTTATGTTTCTTTATCATCTTATAATTAATTACCTTCACCCAAGGCCAAGTTGTAGTAAAGGTCAATGATGTTGGGGCAGTTTTGGTAGCATTCCGTGGAGCAGATCATGGCCGTCAACTTAGGGTCCAGAAGGGAATCGGAAGATATCCCAACTGAGTTCCTATCAACTCCACAAGCATTCGTGCACTCATCGCTCTCAATCATCTCCCACATGCCTTTCACAACCACCTCCGATGTCTTACATTGGAATCCGATGGCACCATCGTTCGACTCGTAGTACTTCTCCAACACGCATCGCTTCCCAGATGACTCGATCGAGAAAGAGCACACTCCCACCGGCAATTCCTTGCATACAATCTCACCTGCACAGTATAGGTTTAAAACAACAACTCATGATCAATTCACACCCACTACAAACAAACTGTGTTTATACGATGTTTTGTGTGTTTTAACAAGTTTTTTAGAACAGTTTTAGAATAAAGTGTAGTATTAGCTATTTGTTAGGACACTGTTGACGACCTCAATCGTTATAGTGTTCTTAAGATGATCAAAAGCTACCACGATATTATGTAGAGGTGAAATTACCAAAAGCTCCTTGAAGGAAGAGAGTGAAACCAAGGAAGAGGACCAAAGTAGCCATATTGGTGAATGATCTAAGAAGACACACCCAAATAGAATTAAGATGTATTGGTGGTAACTTTGGTACTTTGATGTTATGGGGTTTCTGTTTATGTATATATATGTATGTATGTATGTATATGAACAATAGAGTATATATGGGCATAAAACGACATCGTTAGGATCAAAAGTTTGACCAGTTGCACAAGAAGAACTGGAACTGGTGTTTCGACTTGTAGCTGTCTAGCTAGCGTGAAGTAAGATTTGTGTTGATTGCGACAAAAGAAGGTGGATTATAGTCTAAATATATGCTTGAAGGTTAGGATGGTAATTATGTGGGTTGGGTTTCGCTAAGAATGACAGTTAAAGTGAGAAGTGTAAAAAGGGATATCCACCCTCGGATGCACGTTAGGATGAGATGTACCGGATCAATTCTAATACCAAACGCCATTCATGTGTGAGTTTGAAATTAAAAGTGATAAATGTCTAGAATCTCTTCTTACATTTCTTACATTAACTCTCCTTCTTACAAGATCTGTATGCGGATAATAAGTAAACTACGACTACTCATATATTGTCGTTAGGTAGCAAGTGAGTGAATACTTTTTTGGCTACTATTCATTTGTTGTTTTTCTTACAAGAATCTTCTTGTTTTTTCCTTCCATTTGGTGAAGCAATATACATGAATCCAATTATGTGTTCATTAATTAAAAATGGCATTCATTATCTATATTATATTATAAATCATTTGACAAAAACTTTTAAAAACCATTTTTATGTATGAAGTACTGTATATTGATGTATATTACTTAAAATTCAAGATTACAAGTAAATTATGAATAAGCAGCTTATTAAAACTCCATGTTTAAGCATAATAAAATAGAGAATGAACATCTCATTTTAAAATATAAAAAATTTAAAATATAATTAGGATAATTATAGAGTTTTAGCAAAATAATTAATTATTATCTTTATAAGAAAATTATATTATTAAACCAAATATAAATTACTCGTTATTGAACTTAAATTAAATTATAATAAAAAAATTGAATTAAAAATTACACAAAAAATAGAAATTTTAAATAGTTAATTTGGTAATAATATCTATATATTTTTGTCAAATTTTTATGATATCTTCAAATTTATATTTTATTCAAAAATAAAAACATTATCGTTTTTCCAAAAATCATATAAGACCATACTATAACATCGACTGAGATAGAAAATAAAATGAAATATTAAAATCAAGATGTATCTCGCTGCATTGCGTGAGTACCTTTCTAGTCTTAAAAATATGTGCAACTCTTTTCTTAAAAAACCAAGAGATTCCTACTTATGTATATATATATATATACTAGAAGGGTACCCGTGCAATACAACGAGATACATATTCATTTTAATGTTTCGTTTTATTTTTTGTTTCTTTTGATACAATGCGATTTATGTGGTTATGAGAAAGATAATATTTACACCTTTGAAGAAAAATAAATTTTAAAGATATCGTAAAATTTTGAAAAAATATAACGATATTAATATCAAATTAATTATTTGAAAGTTCTCGTTTTTTTGTAAAATTTCTTTAATTCAATTTTTGTTATAGTTTAATTTAGGTCTAATAGTGAATTAATATATTTTTGGTTTAATAATATAATTTTTATAAAGATAAATGATTCTGTTA